CAGCTATTGACAGAGGCGAGACCATCTGTCCCATGACCCTTAACTGAAAGCTTCAAGGCAAGGAAACTAAGCCACCCTGAGAATTGCATCACAGAAACCCCCTGAAGGCTGGACTATGCAGGCACCTCAGCTCCTCATCCCTGCAAAGCTTTCTGCAGCGCGTGGGGGGAGGAGTGCTCAGCAGTGTGTAGGAGTTAACTTGTCATCAGCCAGAGAGTGGTGGGCAGAGAAGGACAGGGGAGAGGGACCCTTTGCAAGTCGTAGGAACCCCTCAGAGTGGCTGGGGTCCAGCTCAGAGCAGCTACAGAAAGCTGACGCATAACCTCAGGATCCACACGGGTCCCAGAGTCAGGGTGCTTAAAGGAGAGAGGTTCAAGGGCTTCTTGGTGCCCCATCCCTGCAGGATACCCTGGAAAACCCACAAGGTGCACGAGCCCCACCTGCCTACTCACAAAGACCTAATGGTGTGGGATTCTGGAGGCACTCCTTTTCCCTCCTGAGGCCTGCCCACACCTACTCCATCCCTGTCAAACTGCGGCGGGTAGCCAACTCTTATGTTCCGGGTAAGTGAGAAAAATAGGCAGCGTGGGAAACAGTGACAATGTGGCTTGCTACTCCTTTCATTTCCTCAAAGGAGTATGTTCCCACTTTTCTTGCAACAAGAGCCTCTCCACCTATCTTCTGTTATTCCATTTGGGGTAGAGACACAGAGAAAGATCTCTTACCTTAAAAAAAAAAAAAAAAAAGACATGCAATCTCAGGGCTGGGGACTACTTTAGGGATTGCTGGGGGTTGATGGGACTAGAAGGTACCACCCTTCCCTAAAGAGGCAGCTGCTCTAGCACTCCCTTTGGGAATCGTTAGGGCAGAATATTTGAAATTCCCCAATTTTCAACACTGACTCAATGTTTTAAACTGTATGCTGGTCCGACAACATGTATTGGTTGGGTGTGACCCATGTCCCCTGTCCGTCACCAGGACAGAAGGATGCGGTAAGGAGACAGTTTGCCTAGACTACGCAACTATTGGGCGTGTTGCTCTGCTTCCTGCTAAAGAGTGTGAAATTGCCAGAAATAATGCAGACTGTCAAATCTGACAGAGCCGAGTTTGAATCTTAGCCCTACTTTTACCAGCTGTAGGACCTCAGGCAAAGACTATAAACCTCTACTACAACTTCCACCTGCAAAATGAGCTGTTAATACCCAACCCTAAAGACATTTGTCAGAATTAAAAACCTTTGTGGGCCAGGCACAGTGGCTCACACCTGTAATCCCAGCATTTCGGGAGGCCAGGGTAGGTGGATCCCCTGAGGTCAAGAGGGGGAGATCAGCCTGGCCAACATGGTGAAACCTCATCTCTACCAAAAATACAAAAATTAGCCAGGCATGGTAGCAGGCATCTGTAATCCGAGCTACTGGGGAGGCTGAGGCAGGAGAAGCAATTGAACCCAGGAGGCAAAGGTGGCAGTGAGCCGAGATCACACCACTGCACTCCAGCCTGGGCAACAGAGCAAAAAATTGTCTCAAAACAAAACCAAACCAAAAAACAAAAACGTATGTGAAGACTACCATGAACTCTTTTTTCCTAAGAGACAGAGTCTTGTCCTGTTGTCCAGGCTGGAGTGCAGCGGTGCAATCATAGCTCACTGCAGCCTGGAGCTGCTTCGCTCAAGCCAATCCACCCCACTGGCCAATTTTATTAGTAGTATTTTCTTTTTTGTAGAGATGGGGGAGTCTCGCTATGTTGCCCAGGCTGGTCTTGAACTCTTGGCCTCAGGCAAACCTCCCTCCTCTCAGCCTCCCAAAGTGCTGGGATTACAGATGCGAGCCACCACACCCAGCCCATGAACTTTTTTTTGGCCAATGAACTCTTGATAAATGATACATTTCCTTCCCTATCTCCCTAAAGAAGTGATTTAAAGCAGTCTTTAGATTTCTTTTTTCTTTTTTTTTTCTTTGAGGCAGTATCTTGCTCCGTCACCCAGGCTGGAGTACAATGGTGTGATCATGGCTCATTTCAGCCTAGACCTCCCAGGCTCAAGGGATCCTCCCACCTCAACCTCCTGAGAAGTTGAGACTACAGGCATGTGCCACCATACCCAGCTAATTATTTTTATTTTTATTTTTTCTGGAGTCAAGGTCTCACTATGTTGCCCAGGCTGACTTCCTTATGTTTCAGTGTTTCCATCTATTAAAAACCAAAATTATCCTCTATCACCACTCTCTGCCTCACAGGATGGGATGAGGTGACGTAGATGAAAGCAAAGTGCTTACGAATCTAGAAGAATAACCATCGTCTTGATTGCCAACACCCTTTCCTATCATTTCTAGCCCAACAAAGGAGCAATTAGCTCTTCTAATGTGTTTATACCCTTAATAATGTAACGCAGGCCGAAATGGTGCCACATTTGTGGTACGTCCTTAAAATGGCTATTAGCAATCAACTCTCCAGAGTCCAAATCTACCACCCTCCTACAGAGGAGAGTACACAGGAGGTCACTGTTGGTCACTAAAGGGCCTGGCAAGTTTTTCTCCTTCCATGCTCTTGTTTTAGGGGACCAGAGAGGAAACTGAGGTATAAAATACAGTTACATAACAGCTGCATACTTTTTACTCATACCAAGAAAACAGAACCACAAACCAAACAACTCTACTTCATTTAAGTACCACCATGAATTCACCGTCAGATTTCCCCACAATATAAGGGGATTTTTGTTGGTTGTCTCATTATTTTCCTATCACAGCAGTGAAATTAGGACACACTTCAGCATTTAGATTAGTGAATCTAAAGGATGTAAAGATGTTTTAAGATTCAGGTCTTAAAACATGAATCAAGAGCAAGGCCTAGGCTGAGGAGATTCATTGAACACTTCAACTTTTAACTGTCACAGGTTTCATCTGTTTGACTTGTTTTATCTTTAAATCAAAAGGCATTAAATTCAGTTATACTGAAGCTAGGAAAAAATGTGGATTGCCTTTCAGGAATATGCCTCCCCTTCCTCCCTCTACTAACCTCTGTAGCGCCCTCTCAGAGTCACCACTTTTCCAAATTACTAATCAAGCATGACAGAATGAGTAGAAATTATAGGCTAAATCTGGAGGAAAAAGATGAGCAAGGCTGATGAAGATATAGCTATTACTCCTTCCTTACCCTCTGTCAAACATGGTGCTTGAAAAAAAAAAAGGTGTTAACACCATGCAGAACTTTCAGGGGTCAGTTCTTTGCTGAATATTTACATGTCATGATCCCTGAAGCAAACGAGGTAAAGATAAAAAAAGCAACACAACTCTGCTAAGATCTCTCTCAAGCAATAAGCAGCTCTCCACTCATCCTGTGCTTTGTTTTTACCATGTCAGCTCTTCCAGAAGTGTACATAAATTCTACGTGTATACGGACATATGTGTTCGCTACTCTCAACTCTATTTTTTGATGAGCGTAACTTGGAAAGGATTTGGGCAATTAGGAAAAACTGCTAACACGTTTTATACAATCCACCCGACTGGAGGCAATCAACCACCAGGCTGGCTAATGCCTTTGTATAAAAAAAAAGCTGACCTGGCACCCACCTGCATCAACTTGATCCGCTCAGCTTTGTCGCACTCAGCAAACATCCTCTGCCTTCTGAGCAAAAAAAATCGGCACCTCCAGTAGAGAGAGAAAAACTTTTTACGACTGAGTTTGGAGAAGCAGGCTTGACACCCAATTTACAAAGAACGAGCGTCTGTGGAAGATCTTGCATCTAGACTCAGCTGCAGTGCCAAACCTACCTTATCAAAAAACCTCCACAGGTGGTGGTGTTCCATTTAAAGGAAAATGCCAAACACACACAAATACTGAAACAATAGTGTAAGGACTTCCGTACCCATCATCCAGCTTCAACTATTTTTATTTTACTTTAAGTTCTGGGATACAAGCGCACAACATGCAGGTTTGTTACACAGGTGTACATGTGCCATGGTGGTTTGCTGCACCCATCAACCCGTTATCTAGGTTTTAAGCCCCGCATGCATTAGGTATTTGTCCTAATGCTCTCCCTCCCCTTTGCCCCCTCTTTCTGACAGGCCCCATGGTGTGATGTTCCCCTCCCTGTGGCCACATGTTCTCTCCTGCTTCAACTATTAACAATCCATGGACAATCTCCCCTCATCTTGTTCCCCTCACTTCTCTGTTAGCATCTAAAACTGAATAATTCTGAAGCAAAGCCCAAAGCTGTATTTCAACTTCAGTCTGTGTCTCTATAGGGGTTTTTAAAACCTTAATCATGAACCATTACCAAAAGTAACTAAACAGAACTATTATAATATCCTTGATACCATCCAATAATCAGTAATTTCCTTTACTTATTTACTTATTTTGAGATAGAGTCTCACTCTTTCTCCCAGGTTGGAGTGCAGTGGCCGGATCTCGGCTCATTGCAACCTCCGCCTCCAGGGTTCAAGCGATTCTCTTACCTCAGCCTCCCCAAGTAGCTGGGATTACAGGCCTCCGCCACCACACCCGGCTAATTTCTGTATTTTTAGTACACATGGGTTTCACCATGTTGGTCAGGCTGGTCTCGAACTCCTGCCCTCCGCCTCCCGAACACCCGCCTCGACCTCCCAAAGTGCTAGGATTACAGGCGTGAGCCACCACACTCGGCCATCGTCTCTGTTTTAAAATACATTCTTTCATCAAATCAGTATCCAACCAAGGTCCACACCTTGCATTACCGTTCGTTTTGAAACTGCACACAGGTCCTCCTCCCTGTAATTCCAATAGCAGCCAGGCTGATTCCCACTAACAATTCCCAAATAACTATAATAACTCTATTCTGGAGATACCACAAATAACTGCCGGTCTAAGACCTTGTCAAATGTATACATATATGTTTATATTCATACACACGAAACCATTTCACTCGAAGCAATAACAATCCTGAGAGCTAAACACTCGTTCCGGTGTCTTTGGCAATGCTTCGCGGTGGGGGTTATCTCTGGGATTTAAGCAACACTTCCCCTTACCAGAATCATTTTGCCCAAGTGTAGCACGAAGCGAGAGCGGTTTCTCCCAGCTGAACCTTCCTCCGGAGGCCGGGTTAGTGAGCTCGCCTCCGGACTGCAGGGGGCGGCCCTGCCACCGCCTCGAGGCCACCTGTGCGGGTGGGAAAAGGAGCATCAGCCGCTGGGTTCCTGGGGGTGGTCGCAGGTAATCTAGAGGAAATATTGAGCCAGCCAGGATGGTCATCCAGGAACCCACCGGGACGCAACGACCTCGGAAAGCAAACAGCCCAGCAAAGCCCTGGGGCTTAATCCCAGTGCCCGGCGCGCGCGGGGGCGCCGCCCCCAACGCCGGAGGCCAGGCGCGGGGATGCAAAGTCGGCCCCAAAGAGTGCACGCGCGCGAGTGTGCGCGTGTGTGTGTGACTGTCCACCTATGGGCGCCAGGAAGGAGCGAAGTTGCATACACTCATTTCCATAACCTCGCTGGGTTTGTCATGTTTAAAAACCGTCTCCCCTGGAGAGAGGGTGGCGAGTGTCTGGGTGCGGGACACGCCCATTCCCCGGACCCCTGCCCTCAAACCCACGACAGACCCCAGCTACTAAGGCTCCGCGGTAACCCCCATCCCGAAGCGGGCCGGCTCGGGCGTCCGCGCCCCACTCCTGGATCATTTTGGCAGCAGAGAATCCCAGCCCCCGAGTTCCTGCAAGGGAAACTCCTTTCCCTCCCAGACGCGCCCCGCCGGGCAGGTCGCGAGCGGCGCGGGGACCGTTGCCTGAACCGCAGCGGGGACGCGGGTGGCGAGCACGCCGGGCGCCCTCCACCCGCGCCCGCACTCACCTGAGGATCGATGGCTGCCGGCTCCGCAAGGTCGAAGCCCCGGCACCTGCAGCGCGGGTGCCCAGGTGACGGCCCGAGGGAGGGGCTGGGGCCCAGCACGCCCGCCTGGTCCCGCCCCGCTCCGCCCTCGCGCTCCCGGGAGGGGCCGGGAAGCACTGCCTTGGGACCCCGCGGCGACCCCGCTGTGGCTCAGCAGGCTCCCGACCAGGAAATGCGGGCGTCGGAGTCCGGCAACCTTTGAGCGCGCGCGCCCTGTCCGGCCGGACGAAACAGGGGCTGGAGGGCGCCGCCTGCCGGCGGGACAGAGAAATATCATGGAGACTGCCGCCCCCAGCCGGCTGGGAGGGGCTGGGTTGAGAGTGGCAGAGGAACGCCCCAGGGGTCGCAGTGCGGGAGCCGCTGGGGGCTTAGTGCGACCCCCTTACTCCTGCCATGTCTTGAGGACCCAGCCCCTGTCTTAGGAGGTCCCTATCTCACCAGCAGCAGGGGGCCACTGTGTCAAGGACCTTGCAGAGGTCAGCGTCCTCCCTTACCTCTGCAAACTTAGACTTGGTAGTTGTCTCCAGGTATACACAGGGTGGCCGGACATGGTGGCTCTTGCCTGTAATCCCACCACTTTGGGAGGCTGAGGCGAGCAGATCACCTGAGGTTGGGAGTCCGAGACCAGCCTGGCCGACATGATGAAACCCCATTTCTACTGCAAATATAAAAATTAGCTGGGCATAGTGACAAGTGCCTGTAATCTCAGTTACTCGAGAGACTGAGGAACGAGAATCGCTTGAACCCGGGAGGTGCAGGTTGCAGTGAGCTGCGATCACGCCCACTGCACTCCAGCCTGGATGGCAAGAGCAAGACTCCATCTCAAAAAAAAAAAAAAAAGTATACACAGGGTGACAGAACTTGAAACTTGTATGCTTCTAAGCAACTGTCTGCAGTGTAGTATGAATTCAGATCTTTAAATAAACATCTACAAATATTAAATAGCATACATATTGCATTGCCTTTTTTGTGTCAACAGTGCTAATTTGTTGTAGTCATTCAACAAATATTTGTTGAGCACCTACAACTTGCCAGTCATTTAAACATTTAAAATATTAAACAATTAGGCTGGGCACAGTGGCTCAGGCCTGTAATCCCAGCACTTTGGGAGGCCAAGGCTGGTGGATCACTTGAGGTCATAAGTTCAAGACCAGCCTGGCCAACATGGTGAAACCCCATCTTTACTAAAAATACACAAATTAGCTGGGCATGATGGCACATGCCTGTAGTCCCAGCTACTTGGGAGCCTGAGGCAGGAGACTTGAACCCAGGAGGCAGAGGTTGCAGTGAGCCAAGATCTCACCATTGTACTCCAGCCTGGGCAACAGAGCAAGACTCCATCTCAATAAAATAAAATATCGTATAAATTCTTCCTTCTCCTCTTTATGCAGAGCCTTGAACAAGGGGAGTGTTCTGGGCCTCTCAGCCTCTCCTGAGTGTCATGAGTGTCATACCAGTGCGAGACTAGAGACAACCAGGTCCACACATGTTTGTGTCTCTCCACAATGTCAGTCATTTTTTTTAATGTTATTTCAATCACAAAATCCAGGAGCTAGGTGGAGTTCCCAAAGAGGCAATTCTCCTTAGTCCTTCCCATTCACTCTGTAGTCAGAGCACATAGTTCATGCCACTCCATAAGTCAGTAACTATCGCAAACCATACATACTAGCATACTTAATCAATATATAAATGTAGATTGAACGTTCCGCAGCAAACAAAGTAGTATTTAACATCAAGAGGAAAAAGAGGAGAAAGGGTTAATGAACCAGTTCGAAGGGAGTGAAGAAGACAAAGGGCTCCTGGTCTGGGGCTGGTGGTCCATAGTTCTGGAAAGGAAGAGCCTTTGATGTGGCAGAGCTTTCAGTGGCAAATTCTGAGTTCTCATCACAAGTGACGGCAAGACGGTGTTAGTGAAGATGGCAATTTCCAGCCACTGAAGGAATTGGCTCTTTTACAGTCACAGGGACCTCTGGTGAGAACTGATAGTGGATGAGTGTGCTTGTTTGTGTTCGTTTTAAAAATGTGTTCATTCAGGAAAAGATCTTTGTTAGCAAAGTGCCTATGAAATAGAAAATGGAGGGTTTTTCTAAGATGGAATTAGTTATGTCAGGGGATGATTTATACACTGAGAGTCTGGACTAGCCTTGCAAAGAATTCAGTAATTGCCCATGGGTGAAGAGAAAGGACTGTAGAGGGGCGAGAACAGACTATGAGGGGACCAGCCTTCGTTGTAGGCCAGGTGAGAGAGAAGATGAAGTCTTGAACTAAGGCGATAGTAGCAGAATCTAAGGGAAGTGAGTAGATTCTAGTAATCCTGGGAACTTGAAGAGATAGAACTTGGTAATTGATT